AACAAGGCTCATTATTAGTCTCATAAAACATGCTAAAACAAGTTTAAATATCATAATACATAACAGCAGTAATTTTGAAAATTACTTCTCAAATAAATAGAGTTCATCAGTACGAACTTAAATGTTTACTTGATGACGCAAGAGAAAGCGTGTATGCTCAGTAGTGGATATGCTTCTGCGGTAATCTGAAGCTTTTAATCCATTTCGAATAAAACAACGATCGATCCACAATATTTTGGAAACTGTATTCAGCTATGCAGTATATAACAAGAAAATACTCATAAAAATGTGGTTTGAGGCGAGGTATTCATTCAAACTGACACTATTTCCAACTGACTGGCCACAAGAACGTGATAAAATTAACAACTTCTGTACGTGACTGAGTGACGAACTGTGAAACCCAAAAATTCAAGCTAATCTTTCCTGTTACCTGCTTCCAAAACAAATACCTAATGTCTCTACTGTGGCGCCCGAACTGAAAGAATGTTGCATGATGATTCTCCTCACCCAGGATTTGACGATTGGGTCTCCTAAAAACCCCAGACGCCCTTTAAAACGGGGAGTATATAAGGTATTTCTTCCGCCTTCTTAGCGTGCCTTCGTGGTGTAGTTTCTGCATGCTGAGCCGGTATTCTAGAGGTCCGTGGTTCGATTCCCGGCGAAGGCGGTTGCTCATTTTTCATCTTGCCTGCTTCCAAAAAATACCTAATGTCTCTACACAAGTATTGTTTGATATTTACAAAAGTTGTTCGAATAGATGACTGCCAACTGCTGTTCATGGCTCACAATAACGACACAGAGACTATCGCACATGTCACATGCTTCTGCGTCATAGACACTAATTACGGCAAAAAGATTTTTCAAAATGGGCCAATGTGTATTTTAAATGCTTGACCGAAAGAAATCGATGCATTTCGTTAAACTATTTAACATTATTTTGTACTTGTCTACTGTAACAGCCTCGGCGAGAAAAATAATATGGCGCGTCCCTGCATCAGAGAACGAAAGGACTACCTATCTGCGCATGTGTGAGTAAAAGTTATCTATCTGTGAATATGCGTAATGCAAAGGCAGGTAACGACTTAAATTAAATATCATCGTAACTAACTGAAATAGCTCTGTAACTACCTAAGTCTAGTAGCATTTCAAATACAGTAAACGACCTAACTGGAATAGTATCTTTCTTAATCGCATTGTATCGATATAGATGTGTTTCGACGGAAAATACTCATTATGCTTACTATTTTCAATCTTCCATCAACTGCAAAGGAAGCAATAACTGATGTTTTAATAGCAGCAGTTCCTGAGCCCTGGTTACCAGAAATAGTCAGTAAAAATGAATTTTCTGATACGTCTGTGTATGTTTTTAATAAATTGTTACCAACTTGTATTAAATGAAATAATAAGTGGAATTTTACAATATATTTAATACAAAATAGAATTTTTCGCACGCTTATATAGGTCAGTGGTTCCAGGCTTACAGTGCCCGTGGACACTCACATAACAAAAACTTGACCACGAACTAAGTGAAATGACTCAGTCTAAGTGCATAGTAGAAAAATTCCAAATTTAACTTTGATGTCTTGAATTTTAAATGGTGATGGAAAAATGAATTATATTTTTATACTTAATTTATGTTTGATACTTTGTACTTATTGAAAATATAACTGTGTCTCTAAAATACAAAAACATGTTTTTTTTTTTTTTTTTTTTTACTTACTTGAGATTCGTGAAGTTGATGTGATGATATAAAATTATTTACTCTCGGCTCTATTTTTGCGAGTAACATTCATAAGTCCGTAAGAGCACAAAAGTAGGTTTCTGATTTTCGTGATGAGAGTCTTAACTGCGATAAACCCACATTCTGCTAAATGTGAAGTTCCATTTAAAAAATGTAGCATGTCTAACAATATAGATGGAACGGAAAATGAGTTATTTATGGATCACAGTAAGAATGATTTTGAAGATGAAACAGAATTCGAAATTCGATGATGTATATGACTATATAATGAATGATGACTATGATAAACTTCTCATATTATGCGATAAATGAAATTTTTCAAGTTCATAAGGTATGTCATTTCTTTTAAATAAGCAGAATTTAGGACACGTGTAAAGCTAATTTTTTTTTACGTTCATCTTTACCTTATTCTTAAATGTATCACTTTTATATCTGGCGCAGATGACGCACCCGTAAATTTCGATCTTAATTTTTTGTATTAAAAATGAGCCTGATACCGCGGAATATACGGTGATTAACGTGAATAGACGATCATCGAATGTTGTATAAAATCGATAGAAGCATACATTTCTAAATAACCAATGAACTTCCGTGTTCGGTATTAAAATAAACTTCATTCAGTGGAGAAATTTAACAACAAGAATCAGCATAATGTTTGTAAATTTTGCAGGACCAGTTTCGATGTTTTAAATACAGAATCATCTTCTTCAGCTGCCTAAGTGCAAATGAACGAGATTGGATATGGTGATAAGATAAGAATGACTGGAAAGTTGCCAACTACTGACGCCATCTATTGACGAAACAAGTAAACTAAAACATAAGTATTTTAAATGCTAGAGGTAAAGGTACATTGGAATTAGGGTAATTAACTAGAACAGAAAGATTTTTTAATCTAAAACGCCTCTTGAAAATCTAACTCACAAATAGAAGATGGTTTTGAATAGTTTTGGCTGCAAAAAAATGGAAAGTGTGATTTTTCTGGCCAACAGTACTGGGCAACATAGGATTTCTGTGTTTCCTTTTTCCTAACATATGTTTCATGCTCTTTAACGCAAAATTTTAAGGCTGTCTCAGATTTACCAATGTAAATTAAAATACCCTGGCAAGGAATTCCAGGAATTCATATTCGGAATGGGGTCTTTAAGTCTGGAACTGGAAAATTTACTGATAGAAGACGAAACGACAAAGTTAAATTTCTGTAAAATACGCTGTTTCTTGTTGTTTAGTTTCTCCAATAATCGTTATTCGGAATGTTATTTTAACCGAAACTTCATTTTTCAGATAAATAATAATCACAAATAATTTGAATAATCTGTCAAATTTCTTTTGATTTTATCCCTTTTGATTATAAGGTATTTTTTTTTGATTTTATTAGCTACTATAATCACATAACTTACCATTCAAGTATTGACCATGAACCATGGAAGTATTTACCAGTGTTTTTGGCGACTAAATGTTATCAATTTGCATTTACGTATTCGGTATCACTTATGTAAGGCATGCTAAAAAACCTCAATATCATCCGATCATTGCTGGAGCACAGTCTGTAGCAATGGAGAGAATATTACTCACGGGTATTACACCAAAAAATTTTTTAATTAAGTATTGTTTCACCTTTCATATCAGTTTCCCAAATATTTGATAAATAACAATGCTTAGAATATTTTCCCTTCTTTTGCAAATTCCACATAAGCTGCAGCTAAGCTTCCTTTCCTGGTAAATTTGACTCGTCAAGCTGTGTAGAGATTTCAGTTGTATTTAAGTATTCACGTAAAGAATTTTTGATGCACTGAGTAATTTCATCAATCTTTCGTTGTATCGTATTATCATTCAGTGGAATTCCTCTTATAATATCAATACTAATGTACGCAGACGGCGCATATTACTTCATTTACAGCTGGTAAAGTAAGTTCATTAATGAAATAGTAGAATACTCCTTCCTAATTTAAAAACAGTAAAGAAATGTTGCAAGAAACATGCTGTCTATCGTATTAGATGCTGTCAAAATGAAGGTGCTTCCCTTAGGAATCTTTATCATTTTTGTCAAATGTTCTTTAAGCTTCAGGATTCATCTGACGAAATTTATTTCACTTATTAACCAGGATATAGTACTTTAAGTAAAGTAGTATATCCTGGTTAAAACAAAGCCATATTTTAAATATTCAGCACTATGTTATCCGCGTTTTTTCTTTGGCTTATTCGTATTGTGAGCAGTAAAAAAGGGCAAAATTTGTTTATTTTACTCATGAAGTAAAAATTGATTCCAGTTTATTTATGACTATTTATTTTAAGCTGAATTATAATGAAAATGGGAGTAAATTATTTTATTTTATATTAAAAATATTAGCGGGCCCTTGAAATTGTTCACGCACCCCAAATTTATTTTAATTTGCCGAGAAACCCTCAGCGATGATAAGAACTGGGAGTCCGTAGGAACCACTCTGGGAACCACAGATTTATGTTATTATTAAATGGCTTACCTAATTGTATTAAATATAATAATTAATGTGATTAATATTAAATAATCTATATAATTAAATATGATGTACATAAAAATATGATGAACATTAAAGTTCTTTTGAATTATGTTATTATTTTAAATCAATGGCTAACATAATTGCATCAAATACGATAATTAATATATATATTAAATAAGTTCTGTTGAATTATGGTGTTATTTTAAATTAACTGCGGACAAAATTTTATCAAATACTATAATAAATAAAAATTAATTTTAATTTCCTTTTATATTCATATATTAAATAACTTCTGTAATATAGATAATGAATGAAGTGCCAATTTATCATTTACAGTAGTCAATTTCGTTTTGGAGGATGTTTACATTTGGCAACAAATCACACTCTTTTAATTGTGCCAGAGCCATTCACTTTCTTACCAAGATCGTTAAGGACAAGTATCCATTATTTCTTGTATAGATCCGTGATTAAAAAGACCTCATTTTCCACACACTTTATGGTTACTGTGTCTGCACGTTCACATTTAACATTCCACCACGCATTTTACTAAGAAATTTTTTTTTTATCTTTTTCATGTTCTGTCACCCCTTCATGTTGTGACTATCTTTCCTGTTACATCTTGCATGTTGGAGTAACTGAAATGTGTTATATCTATATTAAATTAAATAAAATTTTTAACAGTGAAATTTTCTCTGTCATTAATATTTTTCTATAAACATAATGCAATGCTTTTCACAACGCATCTAATTTCAAATAATTATAAACGCTATTTTTTATTTCAGGTAGCAGGTTTGCTATGATGGAGCTAAAGATTGTATTGAGCCACTTACTACGGTACTTTAAATTCACATCTTTGGATCCGAGAGATAAAATTAGCCCAAAGTTTGCAACTGTTTTATCGAATTCAGGTCCGTTGCGCATTCAGCTGGCGTCGCGGACGAGGACTTAACGAAGTGCTATCGCATCGTTTTTAAAATTACTTGATTTGTAAATTAAGACTGAAATTACTTGATTATTAATTTTGTTGAAATTGCTTTCAATATTTAAGCAGTCTCTTTCAAAAGGATCACGTGACAAATATGTTAGCAGATATTTAATTTAAATTTCTGTGTGTCTTTTGCAAAGAAATTTCTAGTTATTAAATCCTAACTTATCTTACTGAAGTGTTTTTGAATAGAAGAAAGCATGGAGTAATACGCAAAACATCGATTGAAAAATATAACAATTATATGATTTGTGCAATTAACGTTTGACAAAAACTAAACCTTAGTGACATACAGATAATACTTCATGACTAGAAAATCTGTTTATAACTGTTAGCATCTGATTCCGCATAAAGTGAGTTATTTCCAGCTCCCATCATCTTTGTATATTTTGCGAACCACAGGGTGCTATGTTTTAAATTTGTGAGTTCTGTCGTAATTTACTTGTTATTTCTTAAATTTATATTTCTAATCATTCGAATTTGGATTTTGATGTAAACAAAGAATATATACTTCCCTTCAAATTAGAAGATAAAGGAAAGATATATACAACATTGCTTTTGTAATAACTCATAATATAATAGTTGTCATTGTTGTGTGTTCACAACATTTTTAAGTTGAACAACAAGAACAGTTAACAGCCGTTATTATTCACATAAATTTACTCTATTTAATATAATTGTATATATTTATTTTTTATTGTTATTTATTTTTTATTTAATATTTTTTTTAAATAATTGTAGCCGCCACAGGGTGCCCGCCGTGCCCAGCAAGGGATGCTGGACTAACTTTCGCGTTTCAGAAATATAATCTCCTAATAAAAAAGTTTTTCAACCCCTGAACTAAAATATTTATTCAGGGTACCTTAAACAAATTGATTATTATTACATGCCAAATAAATTTTGAGTTTAAGCATACCTACAAATGAAAATTTTGAACCAAGAATAAAGCAACGCCGTGTATAATAACAATTAGTGTAGACCAACAACTAGTAACGTGGCTTTCAGTAGGCAGAACATGCTTTGACATAAACAATCTCAAACGTTCACTTAATTGCACGCAAGCTCAAATTGCAATCTGGCAGGAAAACGAAGAGTGTGAAGTGGCAGGTTTATATAATAGTAGGACACATTACTTACAGTAGAAACGCAGGAGAAGTTTACAAATAGTGCTTACGAATGATGCTGACTGGCTACTTTGGAGAGGTCATTAGAACATATTTCGTTCTAAACTATAGACATTTCTTAAGCCGGTTTCTTGTCCTCTGTAATACGATTTTGTGCATACAAATTTTTGCATTCATTTCGCTTACAACAACAAAGTTAACAAGGTTTAACGGCACGATCAGTATTACGAAGCGTTCGCTTTTCCACTCCTGTTGCTTTTAGATATTTCTGTGTTCAAAGGAAACAAAATAAATTTGAACTATTCATATTATTCCAAAAGCGTGTATCGTATAGGCAGCAATACCAGAGGCCGAGGTGATAACAGTGTTTTTCTTTGGGAAATCATTCCGGCAAATGGGCTCACCTGGTGGGATTTTTAATGATTTTTCTCATGAATAACTTGAATACGAAACAGTTTTCTAGAACAAAAAACAACTTTAGATTCTCCAGGAAGTCATGCGTTTCCCGTAAGGAAATACTTTTTGCATACTTTGTCATAAGTGATCAATTAAATAAATGGATAGAAAATGTATGGCAATATTCTGGCAAACTCATATTAAGACTGACTGAGCTAGGCCTAAAATTTGAGGAAATTAACAGCCATGCTTCGCAGTATCGAGTCAACGTATTATTGAGGCAATCGTCTATTGAGTCAAAGTTCATTCCTTATAGCACCATCCTCTCCCTCCAAGTTTTAAACAACGTTAACTTTATGATGATTCGTTATGGTGCACGAAGTTAAATCTCACAGAGTTACTAAATTCATATGAATCACTTTCTGCGAAGCTGACTCATTATCACCTTCAATATCGAATGATGTCAATTATCGATTAATTGCAGCTGAAGGGTTTAAGCCCTCAAATTATTTCTTCCAGTAGAACAAGAAATCCAAAAAAAAAAAAAAAAAAAAAAATTACCTAAACCATAGCTTTTATCCTGTCGTTCACATTACTCTACTTGGTGGAAATCGAAATTGGTTGATTTATTAAATTAAGGAAAAGCATGCGAGGCCTGTCTGTCAAATGTGAGATGCCTTCCCTGAGAAATGCTTAAAGGAAATTATGCAATATTTATGTTACACGTAAGCTAAATTATGAAAATCCCCTTCGGGCAGAACCATGGCATAGGGAAAGAACGCCACTTGTGTAACACAAAGCTGACGTGAATGCACAAAGAAATGCGATATCTCGAAAAGGAAATGCAGTTTCTGTCAAGTCGTACATTCCGTAAATGTGTTTTTGTAGAAACATTTCATTTATAGGATTAGTTCCCCGAATAATTAGTAGCCCAAAACAATAAATTAATGAGAATGCAAGATTTCATTTCTTCTGTTTCATTAAGTTTGTTAACTTAACAGGTGTTTTGTAAGAATATCGCATACTCGTGAATTTGTTTGATTAACTATCAGATGATTAACTATTAGTATTAATTAACTATTAGATTCTATAGTTAATTCGATACACATGCAAGAGAGAAGAATTTTTTTGATTGGAATTTTAATCCCCAAACAGCCTCTAATTTTTATCAAAAAAGAGCATCTTTATCTAGTTTTGCTATTTAAGCATTTCGAGTTTAAAATTTCCTGCAAAGAATGTAGACCTTAAAAAAACTATAAAATATTATAGGTTTCAGATTTTAACCTTCGCCCAAAAGGGTTTGTTAAGGTTTTTACGCTCTCACTGAGCTCGCAATCTACCAGTGTGCTGTTACACTCACTCTTAATAACCCATTGTTTTTGCCTTTTTAGCTTTATTATTAATATCATTTTCTTCGTACTTTCGTCATATGCAATTTACCAGAAAGACTACAAAATTTTTAAAAGCAGCATAGCAGTACACGTTTAAAATTCCCGATGCAGCGTTAAGTGTTGGCATACCTTTTTCTGTTTTTTAAATATTTTCTGAGTTCATAATATCAATGTTCCTTTTTCTTACTAAGATGACTTTACAAATACACCTTTCTATATTTTTGTTATTAATGTTTTGTGTGTTTACTTTATTTATTAAATATTACGTTCTTGGCGCTTACGCCACATAAAATTTCATTCAATACCAAAATCACAAAATATTTACAACAGCATATCTTTAGAATTTCCAGTTTCGTCTCGCGAACTGAAGATAATTTTTTTTTTTTATTCCGCACAGTGTTGCCATTGCTCGCTTTGAAATCCTTTAGTTTGCTAACAAAGAATTTATTTAAGTTTTCCACAATATGAAATAGATAGTAAAGCCAATTCGGAATTCAGAATTAGGGCTTCTATGCGCCCATGTTCGGGTGGAGGACTACATTCAAAATTTGATGGCTCTAGATACCGTTATTTTTTCACAGGGCGGGAAACATATGTAGATTCATGCATCTTCTTCATTATTTAATTTTACACTTTTGAGCTAATAATACTAATAGTAACGTAAACGTTTCTTAATTCTGGTTACATGTTCCGTTATACTTATTACAATGTGTTAGAGTGGACTCATTTTGATTATGCTTTTGGCAAGCGTTCTTTGGGAATTTTCCGTGGATACTAACTAAATAGTTATTATATGGAAATCAGACCTAGATTAACCATTAAGCAAGTTAAACATAAGAAATAAGAAAAAGAGTAAGGGGGCACGAAAAAACTGCTTAGAAACTCAAGGAAAACAGTTACTATAAAAATATCCTATTGCGGATTTTACCGTGTAAATTATGATGCAGCTGAGAGAGAGAAGGAATGACTGAAATAAAACTGGAGTAAATGTACGTCGCAGCACTAAAATCTTTTCAGGACTTAGAACTTCTAAGTATTTTAATCCGACCCTCATTGTTGAAATAAAAATGGCAATGTTTGACATTGCGGCCTGACTGTAGCTGCTGTGAGATATTTGTCTTGGAAAATTAACTATGTTGTTCAAATTTAAGACCATGTAACAGAAAGAAGGTCTGGTATGCATGAAATATTTTTTCACCATGTTCATAGTTAATACTACATTCAAATTTCAAAATGTTTTTCAAGACATGGTAATATTGCTCAAAATATCATTCAAATCCAAAGAAGAGATTTTCTAGTCACACAGTGAGTGAAACTTACTCGTATTTAAGCTGTCATTTCCGTAACACCTCAATTTCCTTGTAACGACTATATGAATGGATAATATCACAAAAATCCAGTTGGATAACATATACGCTTATCTAATAATGCACTTTTTTAAAGTCACAAAATATGTCAGTGTCTGAAAAGTTATTAATTTCTTCCTTTCCTATTGGAACAAATGGCTCCATTTGCTATCTTTTTCCTAGCTTTACCTTTCTTTCACTGTTATTATTATTATTTGGTATAACAATTTGCCTTTTTAATGTTTATTTGCCCGAACATTTCCCCTAAAATATGAAACATAGACTTAATCCTAATTATGCATTTTTCCACAATTCATTCAATATTTTAATCCACCCTAAATATAAGTGTTGCATTTTAAGGAAAGATTTTTTTTTTCCTTTTCTCGATGTCTATTCTTGGAATTGTTTCTTGGAATTTAGTAATATTTCTTTAATAAGATAAGCACAGTTTCAAGATAAACACAATTTTCAATATTTTAACAGAATTTCTATTAATTAAAAAACTTTATTTAATTCCACTTATAAGTTGAGGAATATTTTGAAATAAAGCAAAATGGAAATAAAACGTATCTTTTCTTTTTCCAAGATTAATTTTGACTTTAATGAAAAAATCTTAAAGATCACTCTAAATATGCCGTGCCTCCCAATCGAGACAGTCGTTAGCGACTCAGACTACCGGACAGAAGTGCCCGGTTTCGAACGCCGAAGAAGGCATGGGTGTATATATGTGCGGCGAGACTTACAATCCTCTCTAGACGTGGGTGGTAGGGTAAACGGATAGGAGACTCTTGGACCCGTTCCCCGGAGGTATTTGTCCTCAAAATTTGGGGGAGGGGCATCTGAGTTAAATCGGGCTGTCACCTAGATGGTGTTCAAGGCTGATGCCAACAATAAACGC